TGGACGAAATGTCGTCGAAGTACGTCTGTACGAAGGTACGCAAAGGGCGGAACAATTGCGTCACCAGGCGATTGAACGTCGCCGGGGCGTTAGACAAGCCCTGCGGCATGACGAGCCACTCCCAAAGCATGCCGCTTGGAGTACTTACCGCGGTGAGCGGGATGTCACTCTCTCGCATCAGGATTTGGTAGTATCCGTCTACCAAATCCAGCGCACTGTACAGTACGCTCCCGGCCATGTTGTTCAACAACACATCCTTTCGTGGGATCGGTGTTTGGGCCGGCACCGTTGCGTTGTTCGGCTTGTTATAAGCGTGAACCAGACGCCACTTTCCGTTCGGCTTACGAACGCAGAAAGTCGGCGTCGAGTGCGGGGATTTCGACTCCCGCACCATGCCTGCCTTCGCTTTCGCGGCGAAGAAGGCATCAATGACCTCGCACTGTTCGCGCGGGAGAGGCCATTGCCTCGTGACACAATACTTTGTGCCGGGCACGAGATCAATCTCGTGCCGTACGCCTCGATCCGGTGGGAGTTGGGTCGGTGGGTGTTTATTCACCACGTCCGCATACTCCGTCTCCAAAGGATACACCGGATCCTTGGAGTTCTTGAGAATCTCAGCACCCAAGCGCGCCTGACGCTGCTTGTTCATGTCTTCCAGGACGTTCTCGTCCAAGACAGAGGAGGAGTTCAGCTCCTCCTGAGTGGTCTCAGGTCTCATGAGTACCATCTCAGCGATCTCTCCAGCCTTGAGGTTGGCCAGGAAAGACTCAGCCGTCATTTCCTCGAGGTTCAGTATCTCTGCAACCTCTGGCAACGGTTCCAAGAGGACACCAGATGCCTTGACGGGTAAACCCGTCTCGCTATCGAAGATGTGATAACACTCTTCCACCGGCCTTGTCGGAGGAGCCCGGGCCCTGGACTCCGAGTCGCTTGAAGCGACGTCGATCGGAACGAAGTTCGGATCCGACTTGAGGCGGCGGCGGCGTCTTTGCCGACGGCTTCTGTGACGGGGAGCTTTGCTGCCCACGTCTAGGGATGTCGTCGCTACGACATCAGAGACACTCGTGGCCTCGTGTGGTACTGTTGTACCCACACAGGAAGCGTGTTCAACGCCTTCCTCTTCAGTTAAGATCTGGGCGACCGCGTGTGGCACTGTGTTACCCACACAGGAAGCGTGTTCAACGCCTTCCTCTTCAGTTAAGGTCTGGGCGACCGCGTGTGGCACTGTGTTACTCACACAGGAAGCGTATCCGACGTCTTCCTCTTCCGTTATGGTCTGGGCGACCGTGAGTGGAACTCTGTTACCCACTCTGAACACGCTGTTCTCAGTGTTCATGACAGCTTCAGCTGTCTGCGGAACTAAGTTACCCGCCTGTGGACCTAAGTTACCCACTTGGCCGGCGCCTCTTCTGGGCGCGGCCACCATCAAAACATCCTCGGAGTCGTCATATACGTCGACGACTCCCAAGCATCTGCCGGATGCTTTGGTACCCTGGCAGCCCTCGCGGGCGCCCCGGGTCCTGACAGAGGTGGGAACATGACTCACCAATGCTCTGTCGGACTGCGCAGGGCGGCTGGCACCGATTGCCTTGCCTCGCCAGTCGATCCAGGGCTCGTGCTTCTCAAGCCAGGGCATGCCCAGGATCATATCATATGGATCCATATCGAGAACAGTGAACTGTTCGAGGCTGTCAAAGTCTTCAAACTTGACAGCCAGAGCCACTTGGACGTTGGGGACAGTGACGACCTTCCCGTCGGCCAGTCGCACTGACACCGTCCCGTTGCCCTTGCTTTCTCGCAAAGCTTCGGACAACTTGTTGCTGTTACGAGCAACCGTCTGGCGGCGTGCGAAATTCTTCGACGCCCCAGAGTCAATCAAGATTCTAAAGGGGTGATCGTACCCCCGTACACATCCGTGTACTACGAGCAACCCGCCGCTGCTCTTCGCCGATTCGAGAGTGCGAAGACTCTCAGGGGCTAAGTCCCCGTGGTACGCGCCACCCGCGCACCCATCACGAAGACTTAGTTCTTCCCCAGTAGGGCGCCCCACCCCTACTGGTTCCCTGCGTTCCCCTGTCCCCGGGATCCTGGCTTCTGCCAGCGACCCTTGAGGACGGGCTTGGGGAAGGACCGTCTGCGGAGTCTTTCCGCGGGACAGTCGCGCTTGAAGTGGCCCATCTTCCCACAGCCGAAGCAGCGGATGTCACGCTGTTCGGCGGACCCGAGTTCCATGGGAACTGGTCCGTTGGGGCTTGTTCGACCGGGAGCCGACAAGGAACTCCCAGGCCACGCTGAGGCCGGCGTACGCGCCTGGCGATGGCTGTATTCTTCTTGAAGAGCCACTTGAATCGCCTCTTCAAGGGTGCTTGCCTGCACCCGGAACAGCTGAGTGCGTGCGGGGCCCACTCGAAGGCCGTCCATGAACACAGTCATCTTGATGTGTTCATTGAGTGGGTTTCCCACTAGGGACGCCGTGAGCTCCCGTATCTCTTGCACATACTCGTGCAGTTCGCGTCTTCCTTGTTTACACGCGAGGAAGCGCGAACGCTGGCGGTACTCGTAGTTCGCCGGGAGGAACGCGGCTCGGAGCTGTTCGCACAGCTGAGCCCAGGATGTGAAACATCCAGGGGATGTCGCTTCCCGAGTGTACACCCAACTCTTAGCACGACCGCTAAGGTTGGAGAGTGCAAAAGCAACACGCAGTTGCTCGGTCGAGATCAGAGCCGCGTCCATCGCGAGCTCTACTTCTCGGACCCAGAAGTGAAGGTTCTCGCCTTCCTTCCCTTCATACGGCTTTACCTTCAGCCGTACTGACTTCGGGTGAGGCGGGTTTGCTTCCGCCGCCGGAGCCTGCAGGTTCTCCCGCACATGCGCGATGAGGCCCTGCTCGTACGCGTCGAATGCATTGACGCGCTCGAGCTGCTCAGCGGTGTTGATACCACTAGGCTCTGCAGGGCTCCATCCCGAAGATGCCTGCCATCTTCCGAACCGACTCGAACTGAGAGTCGTTCATATGGGAGAAGTCGTTCCTATCCATGGCAACGAACTTCGGAGGTTCAGGTAGTCTACCCGCGATGGCGTGGATTGACTACAAGTGCTACCAAGTGTGACGGGGTCACACAGCACCTTGCGCTAGAGGAAGTTATCTTCCGAGAGTATACAAACTCTCAGTGAACGGCAGTTCACAGGTCCCCTCTTTAATTAAAGAGAGCGAAGTGACCTAAATGAGGTAGATTGTAAACTGAGTATATTTATAGGTAGGTTAAGTTTGAGGTTAATACAAACTATCAGTTACCTATAGAAATGCAATGTCATTTAACCAATGGTTGGTTTTGAATGACCTTGGTACCTTGTACCAAATATCCCGGAGTATGACATGTCATACTCCTGAAGTGTAAAGTGTCACACTTCATGTAACCAGGGTACACTTAGTGCTACGTACCCCGTTACAGGTAGACGTATTTTGCTGTTAGTCGACAGTGCTTCCTCTCATTCTGAAACAGGACTAGAGTTTAAAAATGTACGCGTCGCTAAACTTCCGCCAAACACTACGTCAAAGCTACAGCCACTTGACCAAGGTATCATATACTGGGTCAAGCGCAATGTTTTAGCGAAGAAAATGCACTTCGCGCTGGACGAGATTGAGAATGGTACAAGACAGCCATACAAAGTTGGAATGCTTCGTGGGATTCAGTGGTGTACTGAGGCGTGGCATGAGCTCTCACCAGAGACGATCGAGCATTGTTGGCGCCACACTGGTTTACTAACAAAAGCATACATTAGCTTTATTCTCAATTAACATGATACAGTTCTTTTCAGCTCTCGCTGCTCGAGATGAACTTGTGCTTTGTAAGTACAAGTTCGCTAAATTCTCCCAATTTTTTGCCGTCCGTATGGTCCCACTCTTGTCTGACTCGAAATTCTTTAAACCTACTAAATATCATAACTATCTACAAAATACTACAATTCGTCGCACCATCGCTGTTAACCGCCAGCCGTCCCCTCACTCCTCGACGCTCCATGAAGCTCGCTCGTCTTCTCGGCCTCGTGGCCGCGTCGTTCTCCACCTGCAGCGCCGGCAGCAGTTTCATCGACTTCCGCTCCGTGGACGGCAAGCTCAAGGCCGACAACGAGACGTTCCACCTCAAAGGAATCAACTGGTTCGGCGCCGAGACGATCGAGCTCGCCGTGCAAGGTTTATGGCCGTCCGCCACCTCTATCGGCGATGCCATGGACCTCTTCGCTAGCTACGACATCAACGCACTGCGTCTGCCCTTGGCTATGGACTCGGTAATGGACGATCCGAAAGTCAAGAGCACCCAGACCGGAGGCAGTCCGTCCTTGGCCGGTAAAACGTACCTTGAGGTACTGGACGTCATTGTGAGGGAAGCGCGTGCACGCAACATCCTCATTATGTTCGACAGCCATCGAATTGAGGCTTCCGAGCCGGATTTCCCGGACATTGCCGTGCCTAACGACATCACGCCGGCACTACAGAAACTCGCAACGCGGTACTGTACCGACCCGGGGGCATGGAATGTGTTCGCCATGGACATTAAGAATGAACCTAAGGGCAAAGCCACATGGGGCAAAGGCGACGAAGACACAGACTGGAACTTACAAGCCGCCAAGATCGGCAACGCGGTGCTTAAGAAATGTCCGCGACTTTTAATATTCGTCCAAGGCGTTCAGACGAATATTAAAGGAGTGAGTATGAAATGGGGACAAGCCGGTGGCTCGTTACAAGGCGCCAAGGACTACCCTGTCAAATTGAGCAATATGGAGCGACTAGTGTACAGTCCCCACTTGATCTCACCGGGGGTAGACTACAAGGCCCCTTGGTGGGGCGACTCGAGCTTTCCGGATAACATGCCGGATATATGGGACGAATATTTCGGATTCGTACCTAAGGAGACGGGTCAAGCTGTGGTTGTTGGGTCCTGGGGAGCTCAGATGAAGGAGAAAAACAAACAATGGGCGAAGGCTGTGTCGTCGTACTTAGAAGAAAAGTCGATCGGATCGTTCTATTGGGCCTTTAACCCGCAGTCAGCGGACACGGGAGGGTTCGTCAAGGACGACTGGGCCACTCCTATCGACGAACGTGCGGCTCTACTGGAGCTATTGCCTACAACTAGTGTAGAAGACGTCGTTGCTATCTTTGCCAAGTGCTCGAAAACTTGTGCGGGTAATGGCGGATGTGAAGGTGGTAAATGTGTGTGCTACACTGGTTGGAGTGGTCCACAATGTGAGATCTGCTCGGAAGGAGACGCAAGTGCATGTAACGACATGGGTACATGTTTGAGAAACAGCACATGTGAGTGTGAAGACGACGCGAATGGGAAATACTGCGCTGGAACCGAGTGCGATGAAGTCGATTGTGGCGACGGCTCCAATGCCGGATGCTTCAATGGCGAGTGCACGTGTCTTTACAACTGCGTGGGCAACTCGTGTGTCGTCTGTGCTGCCAACGATTCGGCTCTGGAGGATGCGTCGAACGGAGCAACAATTCTCTGCGACGCGTGCGATGCTCAAACTCACAATGATTTTTCAGCTGCTCAAGCAACGTCGACGGTCACAGTAGCAACCGCGGCGTTTGCTACACTCAGCTTGGTCCTCACTTTTTTCTATCAAATTTGATATTTTTTTCTTTAAGTAGCTGCTAATTACTTTGAAGTAATTTGCAATACGTTTTTTCAGGTGTTGTTTAAAACCGATAGCAAGCGTCGGTTGAGTAAAAAAATCGTTGAAAAAAACTCTAAGCTTTGTTTGTACTTTGTTGCGGTACTTAAACTATCGTGTCTAGGTACTCACATGTAGTCAGTGGTTCCCGACTATGCCTTAAGTTTCTTGCTGTATCGCTCCAGCAGTTTATCATAGGGTTGTCCATCACCGAAGATCCGTCTCAGTTCTCCCTCGCAGCGACCCATTTGTCGAGAAGCGCATCTTCCAACTTCGAGGCCAATGTCTTCGTAGCGGGGTCTTTCTTTGCAGCATCTAGTATCGACACGAGCCTAATGTCATAATAGTTCGCTCTGAAACAGTCGATCATGGTCGTTTTCTTGCTAGGATAACGTTGGTTGAAGTCGTCCAGATACTTGGTCCACACCTTAAATTTCCGATTAGCAAGACTCAATTTGTCACTTTGATGAAGGTGGAAGAAGCTGAAAACATGCTTTGGAAGCTCCCTTCGTCTAGCCAGTTCTTACGCCAAGCCTTCTCAACCATTTCAGCGATCTTTTAAGCGTTTGGGTTTTCCATCGCATTATCGATCATATGTTCGACACCACTCCAACCGTAATAGCCCTTCAGTGGCTCAAGCCAAGATTCCTGATTCGTCGGGTGCTTCTGGTAGAAATCTCCCACATAGCGCATCCACTTCCTGAACTAGAGGTTACTGAGAAGGGTATCACCAACAGTATCGAGCCCCATCAACGTGAACGCCTCCTTGGGGGGTTCCTCTCTCTTAAAAATACTGTTAATCTTCGTCGCCTGCATATTAGCTGCAGCGTTTTTCAAGTTGGGGAACTTTGTGGCTTCTTCGAGGATTTGGAGTAGCGGCCTGTCGTTGAAGCTAGTCTCAATTGTCGTGAAAATGGCTGACATCTTGTTGGGATTTTTCGTGATAAAGGCATTCATGAACGAGACCCAGGTGGCGAGTAAAGGATTTTTGGTAAAATCAAGATGTGTAAGATGTAGCCGTAGTAGTCTGTAGACATCGTCAACAGACTTCCCGCTGCTCAGCCACATCTCCACTTGTGCAGACTGTAGTCTCGCGGCAACTTGTTTCGTAGGTGTCCTCGCTCTCCCCGCCGCAAGAATTGCCGCCACATCTCGATCGTCGAATGCTCGCGTTAAGGTCGCAATCACTGTCATTTTCTTGTCGGGATATCTTGCGTTGTAAGCATCCACATACTTGACCCACGAGCTGAACAGCGGGTTCTCTAGAAGATAATGCGTAGTTTTACCGAGACGGAGATCAGTAGTGAAAGCATGAGCAGGTGTTTTGTGGCTATTACGGTAAGCCAAAACTGAGATATTTCAGTCTCCAGCTTTGGTGGCAATACTATTGGCTCCTTCCGTGCTCTTGGCCATTGTAAGTAGATCGCCCTCAAAGATGTATTTACTCAGTGTAGAGATCAGTAGCTTCGGCTCTTCAGGGTTATTTACGTTCAAAGTGTCCACATACTTGACCCAAGCATTAAATTTTGAATCGCTCAGCATGCTCTCCCCTTTTGTGTGAAGTTTGAATATACGAAAAACTTCCGTGGGATCTTTTCGAGTGGTTATCCAGAACTGCAGCTGCTCCCTTTGAAGCTTGCTGGCGAGACCCTCCATACTGGGAACACGTTTGGCATCTTGTATCATTTTATACAGCACGTCGTCGCCGTACTGAGTCGTTAGCACCGAGACCGCTGATGCTCCCTTCGTGGACATCTTTGCATTCAAATCGTCAACATATTGAATCCATGCACTAATCTGGGGATGGAAGAGAACTTTGTTTCCGGCCTTTGTAAGATGCATACGCGTGAAAACAGCGGCTGCAGATTTTTCTTTGTTGAGCCAACTCTGGAGTTGTTGTGGGGTCACAGCTGAAGACGAAAATGCTGCTTTGAGCTTATCGACAACAGAAATAGAGGCTCCTGCCCCAGCTCTCTCTTCGTTAAGCCATTATTCTTTCTTAGAAGAAATCGTGAAGCGGCAAGCGTAGCCGATTTGGATTCGTTGGGTCCGAATGCGTTGGCTGCATCGGCGTCAATGCCCGTAACGTGGATGAGGATAGCTAAGACGACTAAGTAAATGGGGGCCATTGTTGGACTGAGAAGTAAGTTGCGCAATGGCTATGGCAAGTTGATTGCGCGGCTGATCTGGGATTTAGTTGTACATGTATTGAATGGGCAGCAGGCTCTCAGACAGACCATCCATTCATAAAGACAGACATATTGACTCAATTTAAATATATCGTGGATGTCACGAGACTGCACATCTCAAGAGATTGGAGGTGCCGAATTCTATCACCCTGTCTAAAAACACGAACCAGCCTCCTAGCAACCCAGGTCAACATGCCCTGTTGAGTTATTGAAATACTACTCCAGCCGATTTTGTTATATTAATAATATTATGCAGGAGCCAAATAATTGACTACTGGCACAAGAGGATTTATCTAAAAAATCCAATAATCTCTCCGTTCATAAACGGATTTTGATTACCAGTTCGAAGATGGATACGGAATAAATGATGCTGACTCGGATTAGACCCTCAGCCCGTGTCAACGCAAATGGTCAACATTTCTGATCCTCAGATGTATACCTCATTTCTGTTTTATTAGTATCATTACGAAGCGATAGCGCAGAAGGATCGTAACGTTCTCGCAATCGACGCTTGAGCATCAGCTATTTGAGTAATACCGCTGTAGTACCATACATGTGACACTATGAGTACTTGTACAAATTACGCTAGCTACTGAAGTACTAGGTCTCACATTATTATTATAATTATTATGCGATATTGGGTCTCACATCTTTCATATTAATTGTACACTAGACAAGTCTGACCCTCTCTCTCTCACGGTATTGGGTCTCCTACAATGCCCCGGAGTTTTGATAGAAAAGAGGGATTACATTAGAGAACATTGACAAAAGTGGAGTCAACAAGCTCAATGGCGAAATTTTGGATACTGGGAAACGATTGCATGATGGCAACTCTAATTTTAGTTGTAAGCTTCGTTATTGCCGACAAATTAACAGTGCGCGACATCGTCGAGGAAAAGTTTATCCACCTTTACGTTTCGGGCAATAAAATAACCGTCATAGTTCCCTATATTAGAATACGGTGGATTTGCGAATAGGTACGCCCTAGTAAAAAAAGCACGTTATTCTGCTGCTTTAACATATTCGTTTTATTTTTTATTTTATGCGGTTAATGCCGGTAGCGCTCAAGGGCGAGCTCTGCATCAACCCCGCTTACCATGCTTTAACATATTCGAGCATAAAACCAGTGGTATTTTTATTCGCATTAATATACTGTCAAGACTTAGTGCATTTCAATGCTTTTTCCTTTTCACTTAGCCTGATGCTCGCTATTTTAGGAAATGTAGGTCGTTTTATTAAATCGAGATCGATAAAAGTACAAATTGATCTAGCTAGACTGGCTGATAAATCGAGCTACGGCAGCCAAATCGACCGCTTTGGGATCGATCAACCACCAAATCTACATCGATATCCTGTAAATCGACCCTTTTTGCCGTTTTGAAATGGCAATTCGATCACAGATAAAAGAAATCGATGCCTGCCTCTTTCCATCTCATTCTTATGGGTGGTTTTATGCTCCGACCATGCTCGATCTAGGCTATAAAGCGGATGGACATTCCATCTGCAAGCACAATACTAATTGTAAACCTAGACAGATCAAATAGGTCGATTAGATTGGTAAGATATCCGAATGATATAGAAAACAATACCCGTAATCTGTCGGCGTGGTTTTTCCAAGCCGTACCATCAATACAATCAATAGAAGCTTTGCCTAGCCTATAATTCGCATCAAAAACGATCGAAAATTGACAAAGAAACACAACAATACTTTGTCGCGCTCTTGAAATGAAAATTGGTTAACCCCATGTAGGCTGGCCCATTCGTAAAAGATTAAAATATGTACCGGAAATAAATTATCCAGGTGTCCTACAGGCTTATACGTTGCATTTGTCGATTCATCATAGCCACAGCTGCAGGGTAACTACTTTTTTTTACATATCAGCAGCTATAATACACATTACATTAGTTGTTCATCTAGAATATATATTTAATTCGAGAATGTATGATTTTAATTTGCAACTTTTGGACAGGGTTGGCGGGTAACTTC